CGTAACCAGCTGCTATCTGCACACTACCTGGCTTCAACATACGGACGTACATGTTAGCATTGGGCTTGTTCAATTCCAGCTGTGTCCAGAACGTCCCCGTGGTGGTGTTGTAGGCAGAGCCGGCGTTGTAGATCATTGTGTTGAATGTCGGGGGAACGTCAGCAGCAAGGTCGGACGTTTTCATCTGTGCTTGGAATGCGACATTTCTGGTCTTTGATGCTATGTTAAAGAAAAGAGTGAGTGTGAGTGAGTTTGGTTTAATGCCGCTTTTAACAGTATACCAGTTATATCACGGCGTGTCAGCTTAATGTGGGAGTAAAGCCCGAAGTGATGCAGGTCTCAGACGTTTACCACTCCGGTGAAAGCCACGAGCACGGGTATGGTGCTGACAAACCTAGAAACATAATCGGGGCGAACCGGGATTCGAACCCACAATCAACGGTTTCTGGCGTGCCCAAGGGACGCAACTCTGCACAGCGAATCGCGGCTCCTTAGTCGACTGGGCCACCCGTGCCCCTTAAGAAAAGAAGTCAAATAACAAAGCCGACTAAATAGCCTGCATGATCGTATTTGGAAAGAATACAGTTTTTCTCCTGTTTTATTGATCCAATTACAATTAAATATTCACTTTTAAGATCCATGTTCCAGTTGTTTATTATATATGTCATTATGATATGTATATGGCATTATGATATCACATGCTGCTTTAAATATTTCAAGTGGGAGGTCACCCTATCCTGGAGATTTCCCTGTTTTCAGTTTCTTCACTGCATGTTTAATTACTTCTTATGTTTTTACACCTCCTATTACGTCATCACACTGTGCACATTTCTCACAATAAGCAGAATTATGATCTAGGATAGAATTCTTGACATATTCCTAAAAAAGCCGCATCTGATTCCATTTCTGGATTTAAAAAAAACAAAAAACATATGAACGAAGTTTTTTTTGTAATGTGACTCTCCTATCTAGGGTTCCATGCGGCCAGCATAGTACCTCTGCCACAGGCCAGCGCCATGTGACGAATCGTCACATCTTTCACAGTCCATTCAAGATATTGCGTAAGTTTGTTATCTGTTTCATGTTTGACAAGTGTACACATCCAAATAAACATATGTCACTGAATGGCCTATTTTCTTTTTCCGTTTGCGTACTTATACATTATTTATATTGGTTGTACGGCTCCGCGTCACCGAAGCCCTACGGAGAGCTAGCGATACGGTCACTTTGATGTTAAGATATATATTGTCATGCAACTCACTGACGCAATTGTAGTAGCATATCTATATAATTATGCAAAACAATATGTAAAGCGCCCCCGAATACTTGCATTAGTCCGTTCTATACTGATTCCTGAAAAAGCGCGTTTGTTTACAAACAAGAGAAAAGTCCGGTCACGTGATATGCAAATTAGCCTGTGGCAGTGGTGTTATGCTAAGTCACCGCTGCGCCGGCGGTAGGTGATCGGTTAAAATCTCCTACATGGGTACAATGTGTGAAGCCCATTTTATGGTATCGACAGCCGTGATATTGCGAAAAGCGGTATAAAACAATACTCACTCACTCACATATGCTTAAAGAAGCGAGTACTTCCTTTGTTGTGATTCATGATTCAGCAACACATGCTTGCTGTAAAAGGCGGCGACTAACGGGATCAGGTGGTCAGGCTCGCTGACTTGGTTGATGCATGTCATCGATCCCAATTGAGTGGATCGATGCTAATGATATTAATCACTGGATTATCTGGTCCAGACTCGATTATTTACAGACCGCCATCATATAGCTGGTATATTGCTGAGTGCGGCGTTAAACAACCAACCAACCAACCAACCCACTAGCTTTCGTTGTTTGTCTAGCATCTTGACATCCAAGTGTACCGCATTTACCTGAGCCATGTTCAACTTGACATCGTGACTGATGGTATTCCGCAGCGTCAGGTTCAGCTGATCATTAGTATGACTGTCGCCCTGTGCTATGTTTTCCAATTGTGTTTTCACCGTGATGAGTTCGTCAAGTGATAAACGCAGCTCCGCCTTCATGGATATCACTTCATCTTTGAAGATGATATTTCAGCAGCTGCTGAAAGTTGCTTTGTCTTGCTTGTCTGAAGATCATTCATGGCAGTTTGGAGTTGTGACTGTGTGTTCTGCAGATCTGTCTTTGTGACCTGTAGTTCCGTCGGCACCTGCATCGTTGTTGCTTGAGGTGAGGTGAAATTGGGTTTAACGTCGCGTCCAAGATTATTGCACTTATATAGCGACGTGCATGCACGTGGATGTGTGTGTGTGGCTGCTTGTACTAGTCCGGACTGATGCCGATTTATAGTGCTAGCTCACTGAGATACCATGCCGCAGTTTAACATGAATACCCCACTCAGACACAGTATACTGACTCCGAGCCGACCAGTCCTTGTTTTAGCCCCTTAATGCCGAGCGCCAGACAGGGTAACAACAAGTACAATCGTTTAACGTCTTTTTGTATGACGCGGCCCGGGATCGAACCCTGGACCTTCCGCTCTCCGGGCGGACGCTCTACCACAAGACCACGGAGGCGGTCGATGTTTCTTGAAGACTGGACACACTCTGCTCCAGCAGGGAGACATGATTCAAAAGGCTGGACATGTCAGCCACCATCTGGCTTTGTCGGAGGTAAAATTAGCCCTGAAAGAGATCTAGCCAGCAAAACAGATAGAAATACAACCGTGTCATACATAAGACCCTGTCGTGGTTATATGCTCAGGCGAACTAAAATAAAAGTAACAGGCGCATGTTTATCTTGCAGGATCATGTGATAGGTGCGTCCACTTGGAGATAACGACAGTAATTTACAATTCTGTTTATCATTGCCTATTATAAAGGCCCTCTTTAAAAGTATTTCAGTGAGAAATTACACAATTATTTTTTTATGCTTATCTGGTCTGATCACGTGATGTGCGCGACAACCTAGAGATTACACCAGTCAGTTGCATGTTATCAATAGCTATGTTTTCTATAGTTTTATACAGACCAACCGGTTTTCTTTCTTAACAGTTGTGAGACTCGTGAAGATCCGGTATAGAATAGGCCATCAGCAACCCATGCTTGCCGTAATAGGCGACTATGCTTGTCGTAAGAGGCGACTAACGGGATTGGGTGGTCAGGCTCGCTGACTTGGTTGAAGCATGTCATCGATCCCAATTGCGTGGATCGATGCTCATGATATTAAAAATTGGATTGTCTGGTCCAGGCTCGAATATTTACATACCGCCGTAAAATAGCTGGAATATTGCTGAGTGCGGCGTTAAACAATAAACCAACCAACCAACTAACCAACCAACTGTTACCCTGTGTCATGTCGTTGGGTTTAGTTCAAACTGCGATGTGTTCACCTGATGAAGATTGAAGGTGAACCTCAAGCATTAAGAGTTGACGTATCAGCTGCAAAACTGCTGTATTTTGCTTGTTTGTAGATCATTCATGGCAGTTTGCAGTTGTGTCTCTGTGTGCTGGTGGACCTTTTGTGTGACATGTATTTCTGTCTATTTTGACAATGTTGTTGTCGGAAAACTCGACACAGGCTGTTCCAGCAGCGATACCTAACTCAAACGGCTTGACAGAGCAGAAGTAGCATGACTATGTCGAAGGTAAAATGAGTTCAAGGCGTCACCCAGCCTGCAACATGATAAGGAATACCGCCCTAGACATTATACCATGTGGTGGTGATAGTCTGTACTTGGCCCATTGTGTAAGATATGGAGCTGTCTCAACTTTTCGTCTTTGCACGCTTGTGGGATGGGTGCGCCGAGATAATAAGCACTGCACTATAGTTGATAAAACCTCACTTCTAGTACTTTTAGTAATGTCAATGTCTTAGACAATGTCTTTTAGAAAGTGTTGAAATGTAACATGTGATATTTGAGATTACACTTTCTTAGTAAAGTGCATATTCTAGTACTTTTAGTAAATGCCTTACTTTGAGGGTGTGGGTTTGAATCCCGAATGGGAGCCGACCCAAAAAAAGGTAATAGAATTTGATGCTAAGGATATAAATCATCTCGGTATCAACCTCTTTCGACTTCAACTGAAATGTCACCACATGCGGAATGCTGTAGAATATTCCAAACATGAGAGACATAACCTGCCTAAGCGACAGCTGAACTGTTGCTCAATGTGTGTGATGTGCTAGCAGAGGATCGATTGAATTATTTAACCCCAGCTATCACAACCAATGGTGAGTGTTCTCGGAGTCCTGTGTGTCAGCCAACTGTCCTCGTGACACATGTATCCTTTGACACATGTACAACGAGTCTAGAGTGACTACCAACCCTCATTATGCAAATAAATACATCCACCATGGCCCTGATGCGTTTTCGTTGTAATATTCTTAAAATTGGCACATGCTGTAAAATATGCTGCTGTCACACCATTTTTGGCAATGCGTGATCCTGTGACAGGTGCGCCGATTGGGACATAAAATGTGCTTTCTTAATCAATTTTTTAAAATCAATCTTTCTTAATTCAAACATAAATTGCCACCACTCCCAATTGCAAAAATATAATACAACTGACCCCTATTAACACTCTTTCATACGTCAGGCTTAGCAACTTTTCTTTTCTTAGAATGTAGATAGAGCCAGTATTTTGAAACGATAGGTTCATGTTCACTGATGTCTTCACTGATACATGATGTTGCTTGCCTGTTTGGTCACATATATATCTACATCACGAACGAACGAACGAACGAACAAACGAGCGAGATAATGTGCATCGTCACTCGTATCATGGCGGCAACGTATGAAGCATGATCTTAATCCAGGCACTTCAGGTAAGATGCAATCTTTATGATATTAGAATCTCATAATGCATCACGTATCGTCATTTTCTAATATGACAGGGCGCATCAAGCGCAGATGTTTGAGCAGCAGTTAAGAGGCACACTACACATACTGCCTCAGTTTTCATTGAAGATCATTCATACGAAATTTCTTTAAAGAGAACATTATTGACAATAACTAAGGTGAATTTGTTAATATGCATTTATGTGTTGACCATTCAAATAAGAATGCCAATCACTAAGCTGCCTCGTGCTGATTACACCACTGAGAGCAGGGCGCCACCGAAATACGATGCACTATTGTAGATTTCATAATCGTTAGTAATCTCCACCCACACCTGTTCCCCCGCCTCCAGATGGTCGATAGTTTGAGCAGAAGTATCCACATCACCAATACCTGACCCTGTTTCCATGTAACCAGCTCCCAAGTTCACTCCTCCTGTCTTCTTTATATAGACGTACAAAGCAGTGTTGGATCCACCACCCATTTCAAGCTGTGTCCAGAACATGTAGGTTCCAGAGACTGGCACGGTGAACTTCCCTGTGGCGCGATTAAAGCCAGAACCAGCGTTGTAGTTGACGACAGTGAATTGCAATGGGGTTTTAGCAGGTGCATGGTTAGGCGGGTCATGTGCTTGGAAGGCGACATCTTGCATCCTTGTTGCTGTAAAATAGCATAGTTTTAGCTACATTACAAATGGCCATTAAAGCTTATGTTTATTGAAAAATGTCTGATTGTACGTTTTTTTAACATGATACTCAGTTAAATACGGTAGTTTGTTTCCTGGTTGTTTAATGCCACAAATCAAAGGACGGCAGCCTTAAAATTATAGTCTGAACGAGACACTCCGGTGAAAACTATGAACAGTGCGACACGCCCATTTAGTCGCTTCTAACAACAAACGTAGCATACGGGCAACTCACATACGGACATCTCAGCAATATGTAAACATTTCCTGAACATTACTTTGTTGTGTTTGGCCGGTCGGAACATCTTTCCTCATACTCTGTAGTTCTGTCTGCGCGTTCTGAAGTTCTTTCTTTGTCACTTCTAAGTCTGTTCGAAGCTGTGCAGTGGATGTCTGGAGACTGGCCATATTCTGCTCCAACAGGGAGATGTGATTAAAAAGGCTGGACATGTCAGCAGTACCGTCAGGCTTTGTCATAGGCAGAATGAGTCCAGAAAGGGACCCAGCCAGCAGAATACACAGAAACACAACCGCCAAAGCCATGACACCTCCTTGCATTTAGTTGGCACACTCCCTCACAGTTAATCTTACAAGATCACATGACAGGTGCGTCCATCTCGAGATAACGACCATAACATTGCCACACATGTGTATATTATCCACTGATATTTCTGTAAGTAAGTGAAAGATTCGAATCTAAAAAAGAATCGTTTCTCAAAAACAAGACTTACTGTGTAAAAAAATAAACGTCTGATAAAAACCAGTAATGCTTGCTTACATTTAACAAGAGAGGTACACTAAGAGGTACATTTGGTTCTAATCTGGATAGGACTTTTTACCTGACACATACCTATCACATGCAAAATCTCTCCAAGAGGTGTTTAACTGGGTAGACAGTTGTCCATATCGTAATATTTTGTTGTGAAAGAACACTAGTTATGATTGCATGGTCTATCACTCGCTCCCACAACTGAGGTTAGCTGTGTAGATTTTTCAAGCAAACAGATGATGTTAGGTGTTAAGATTTGACATTATGGTTGTCTCATCTTTGGGAGACTATGTTATAATTCTATGGTTTTATTATCAATGGCTGCTCTATATTTTCGCACTTTGCTCTTCAGGACAGACACTCATATCTGCATTGATAACCTGTAGTCAGTTGCGCTTTGGCGAGTTGTGTTTGATCAGTATTTCAGTTACACCACAGTGTCAGCTTGAGGAGGGAGAAAAGCCCAAAGTCATGCTGGTCATATATCGGGAGTTCGCGGCACCATACCCCAGCTTGTAGTGTTCACTAAATATCTAGAACCTGTGTCAGCTCGTCGTTCCCCCATATTGAGCGGACATGCCGTGATATCATCCAAATTTGATGTTAAACCCCACTGATTCGTACATGAGCCAGTTACACTGGAAACTACAAGTCGGTGTGGTGATGTCATTGTTAAATATCAGGATATATTGTAATTTCAACTTGCTCATATTCAGTTATGTAACCCTAAGTCATAGATCTGTGTGATCTAATTGATTGTGTGCCAGTTTCTCCCGACAGCACGAAGACCTCACTTTCAAGTATTATGGTTTATCACCCTGGGCCAGCTCTTCTACTCTCTGGTCAGACCTCCTCCCCCGCCCCCCTCTGCTGCTGCCTCTATCAACTGCCAGACTGATCTGACATGGGTCAAGTTGGTTCAGCCACTGCCTACCGCTTCCTTACAAAAAGCAGCTGTGACTCCACCCAAACAAAAAAACTGTCAAAAATGTTGAGTCTCAGACTCCCAAATCAGTTACTGAGCCAGAACCAGAAATTGTTAAACTTTCGAACAAAGGAAAACAATTATTGAAAAAGAAACAACTAAAGAACAGCTGTAAATCTCAACACCAAAGGCCACCTCTCCTTTAGAGATCCCAGTAGAGGTTCACAACTCCTTTGGTTCTCTGAACATGGAGGTAAATCCTTCCCCAAACGACGCAAATAGAAGTACCACAATAGGAGTCACGTTCGCGTGACATTTCTCCAGTTGAAGCACCACCATGAATCCACAAAAATGTAGAGGTCATGAACGACAACTTTTAATCCAAGATCATAAACTGTACCCTTTTTGGCTCCAAGAAACATATCTCAAAAACACAGATCTATTTGATATCCGTCAGTATAGTTCTTATCCTGGTGATAAAGCTACAGTTTCTTTTCTATCCTGGTGAAGCAGGGCATTATCCATATCCCTGTTCCACTCAATACTACTCTGCAAGCTGTGTCTGTCCATGTTACTTTGAACATAGTGTTTACACTGTGCCTGACCACCCGATCCCGCTAGTCGCATCTTTCGACAATCATAGTCGCCTTTTACGGCAAGCATGGGTTCCTGAAGTCCTCACGGGTCCCAATTCAGATGTAAATCCCCGTTCCCTTTCCCCCCAATCCAAGTAGCATTAGCATAACTATGTTCAGATATATCGATGTTTAATGTAGCATTATTCAACATAATTTTCATCAAGATGGCCATACAATCTAAAATGCAATGCATTTCATGTGGCTCGCTGTATAGATTATCCCCTCGTGTTGACTCTTCAGTAGGATCACATTCTTTTGGTCACGCAACTCAAGGCAACAAAGTCGCTCTCAGCTGCATGTTTTCTCAATCCAAGTCAAGCAGAAAATCTACTTCCTGGTCAATTAATTACGACGTCACCCTAACATTCCTTGGCAAAATCACACACAATGTCACAATGACAATCATAAATTGACGTATGACTCGAAACAAATTCCCAACTTGTGTAGGTTATCTGTGTACGTTTAGAACGTTCTACGTTATCTTTCATATTGTACAAAACGAATTCCAGATGACAACACACAATGAACAATAAGCTTTCCTATGACATCCGACTTATGTGAAAGAGTGAGTGAGTGAGTGAGTGAGTGAGTGAGTGAGTATGGTTTTACGCTGCTTTTAGCAATATTCCAGCAATGGGCTTCACACATTGTACCCATGTCGGGAATCGAACCTGGGTCTTCGGCGTGATGAGCGAACGCTTTAACCACTTGGCTACCCGACCGCCCCTTACCTGAAAGAAAAGGCAATCCGTCATTAATACCATCTAGGAAGATGTGTATTGGAGTTTTCGTTTATCGTGTGTCCAACAGCTTGCTTATCTGGATAAAAAAATCTCGTTTATTATTACAAATTTATCAGTGGGTTATGTGCAATGTTATGATAATGCTTGTGACACATTCGATCATTGTTGTCAAGGTACGGACTACTGACGCAACTCCTGGTGTTTCAAATGGGCCCTAATCTAAAACACTAGCTGATTGAGAAGACTGTATGACAAGAGGGATGACTTCTGCATTCCTTTTATGGCTAGCAATATTCCAGCAACTATAGCATTTAGTGTCTACATTTCACAACGTTTGAGTGGCAATCGAGCAGTCTTTCTACGAAGGTTTCAAAGAGCATCATTCGACTCAAAAGTTGTTTGATCAGGGTTAACATTCCAGGCTTTACCAGTCTATACAGTAGTCTGAAACTTTTAGCAGAGATTTCTTATCATTCTGGAAAGTATTTTGTCACTATAATTATTATATTGTATGAAATATATTATTATAATTATACTATCTACGTCATTCGGATTGAACTGAAACAATCTTGTCGATAATAGTTATGCAACGTCCATTTCACATTTATGTAACGTTATTTTTCGATTAGTACAATTTGTTGTGGGCTATTGGAAGTCAGACTGGGCCTTTAAAGAAAACAATGCGAAAGATTTCAACTCACCGAGACTGCTTGTTGTCCAGGGATTGCTTTTCAAGTTCAGACATGTTACTTTTCCAAGTTGAAACTTCGGAGGTGGCAATACTGAGATTAGTCTGCACCATGTGGAGCTCTCCCGTGGCCGATTGTAGATCTTGTCTGACATTCACATCAGAAGACGTTGAATTTATATCTTTCTCAAGCTTGTCGATTCGTGTAGTTGTAGTTTGTATTAGCACCTTTGTAGACTGGAGCTCCATTCCTTCTTCCGTTACATGCAATTCAGTAAACTATAGAAACGAATATTTACGGATAATTTTTAAGTAATAAATATGAATTTGTATCTCTGGAATTATAAGTGATGTAAGGCTAAAGGCAGAATCCGTTGTTCGATACACATCATATCATAAGAATATATTTATGACTCACTGTAAATTAGTGGTGATACCAGATGTTTGGGAAAAGGTCAGCGTATCCTGTCCCACTGGTGGCACCAGTTACAAACCTATGCAATACAAGTTAAGTGTTCACCTGAAAAGAACACAATATTATACTGGAAAATAGGGAATTGCATTGGATCAAGGCCTTGAATGTTGTAACCCTGACCAAACAACAGTGAGTGAGTGAGTGAGTGAGTGAGTGAGTGAGTGAGTGAGTATGGTTTTACGCTGCTTTTAGCAATATTCCAGCAATATCACGGCGGGGGACACCAGAAATGTGCTTCACACATTGTACCCATATAGGGAATCGAACCCGGGTCTTCGGCTTGATGAGCTAACGCTTTAACCGCTGGGCTACCCGACCGCCTGTGTCTCTGTGTGCTGCTGGACTGTTTGTGTGACATGTATTTCTGTCTATTTTGACAATGGTGTTGTCGGAAGACTTGACACAGTCTGTTCCAGCAGCGATACCTAACTCAAAAGCCTTGACAAAGCAGAAGTAACGCATGTTATATTTGGGATAACACTTTCATAGTAAAGTAAAGATTCTCTTTCTTTTGGGGGTTGGGTCCCGTCCGGGATTCGAACCCACACTTGCCAGGGTGAGGCACCTAATCGCCAGCACACAAATCTCGGACGGGACTCAACCCCCAAAAAGTACGAGAACCTGTACTTTACTAAGAAAGTGTTATCCCAAATATAACATTTGTTACATTTGACCACTTTCTAAATAGCATTGTGTATTCAGAGCAGAAGTAGCATGGCTATGTCGAAGGTAAGATGAGTTCAAGGCGACACCCAGTCTGCAACATGATAGTGAGTGAGTGAGTTATGATTTAACGTCACATCGGCAGTATTTCAGCCATATCGTGACGAGAAGTACATTAATAATACATAAATGTATACAACATAAAAAGCTGTCAACGATGGACATTAAAATTACTAGAATATCACAGATTAATATTTAAAACTAGCTGCAACATGATAAGGAATACCGCCCTAGACATTATACCATGTGGTGGTGATAGTCTGTACTAGCCCATTGTGTAAGATATGGTGCTGTCTCACCTCTTCGTCTTTGCACGCTTGTGGGATGGGTGCCCCGAGATAATAAGCACTGCACTATAGTTGATAAAACCTCACTTCTAGTACTTTTAGTAATGTCAATGTCTTAGACAATGTCTTTAAGAAATTTTTGAAATGTAACATGTGATATTTGATATTACACTAGTACTTTTAGTAAGTGCCTTACTTTGAGGGTGTGGGTTTGAGTGAGTGAGTGAGTGAGTTAAGATTTATAGTCACATCGGCAATATTTCAGCCATATCGTGACTAAATCAAGTTGTACAGTAATAATACATAACTATAACCTATAAAATCTGTCGGCAAAGGACAGTAAAATAACTAGAAT